ATGAGCAAAGTACATTATACACAGGTATGACAATGTCACAATGAATGAGCTGTGGTATGGCTCAGTGGTAGGGCACTTGCCTAGCATACTTCAGGCCTTGGAGTCAATCCCCAGCACCACACACACAAAAAAGAAAATCTCATAATGAACCTCATTCTGTTTATAATTAAATATGCTAAAAAAAAAAGGGATGATCATAATGAAACTCCTAAATAATGAACTCAAAAGGTTCTTTTTTCATTAGTGAACTCACAGAATAATATTAGATATGCAATTAACCATTAATGGAAAAAAAAGACCAAGAAGAATTTTTAACTTCTAATGAAGATAGTTCATAAGAAGCATAATGATCTGTGCATTATTTCTCAGAAAATACCTGCAAACCTCTTCACATTAAGATGGCAAAAGTTCAAGATTCCTGGAACTAGAATTCCTAATCTTTTAGTTATGTTTAATTGTAAGGAATTTTTTTTTTTTTGTAAAGGTAGCGGGAGAGAACAAAAAAGACAGGAAAGAATATTCCTTTGTGGAACTATTTCATTAAGCTTTGTCCCCAAATTAAAAGAAAAAAAAAAATCTGTTTGACCTAAAAAAATGGGGTGGGGAATACGCAGAGCTTTTTAACAGAGCAGATTCATGGCACAGATATAAGTAGTTGAAAGCAATCATGTAATAAGCAACATTGAAGAAATGTGTTATACTTGGATACTTTCATACGCAGTTGGTGGTAGTGCAAATTGCTATAAACATTTTGGAAAGCAATTTTGAAATATGTAGTGAGACCTTGAAAAAAAGAATCTGTATCTTCTGGCTCCAAAGTTCTATTTCTGGGAATCTGTTACAAAGAAATCACCTGAATCATGCACAGAGACAATCTAAGTATTTATCATAGTGAAAAATGGAAAACAACCTAAAATGTCTAACAATAGAGAAATTGTTTAAAAATTATAGTACAAGACTCAAATAGCTGGGCACAGTGGCTCATGTTTATAATCCTAGCTACTTAGGGAGCAGAATTGGGAGGACTGACATTCAAGGCCAACCCGAACAAAAAGATAGTGAGACCGTATCTTAAAAAACAAGCCAGGAATGGTAGTACACTACTGTAATTTTAACTACAAGGAGGGCATAGGTAAGAGGATCATAGTCTGAGGCCAGTCTAGGGCAAAAGACAAGACCCTATCTGAAAATTAGCAAAAAAAAAAGGGCTAGGAGTGTGGCTCAAGTGGTAGAGCACTAGCCTAACAAGCTTGAGGCTGAGTTCAAACCTTGGTACTACCAAAAAAAATAATCATAGTAAAAAAATAAAGACTCAGAGTAGTATATAGATATTTTGGAATATTTACCAACAATGCCTTTTTAGCTTTTTTCTTTTCCTGACTTTTTAAATTTTAAATTAATACCCATGGTAAAAGAAAATTTAAAATCAAAATAAAAAATAGAAATCCTTGGCTGGCAGAATGGCTCAAAGTGGTAGAGAGCCTGCCTAGGAATTGTGAGGCTCTGAATTCACACCCCAGTACCACAAAATAAATAAAAATAAAAAAAAGAAATCCTTTCATTCTCCATATTCTGCCCCCAACTCCCAAAGGTAAGTGCTGTGAAGTTTGTATGTGTAAGCTACTAGAAATGTTGGCCATAAACGTTTATGTATATAGGTAATCTTTTGTTTTTTTTTTTTTTTGGTGGTACTAGAGTGTGGACTCAGGGCCTCACACTTGCTAGGCAGGCACTCTACCACTTAAGCTACTCCATGGGTCCTTTTTTGAGCTGGGTTCTTTCTTTCAAGATAAGAGTCTCAAGATTTGCCCAGGCTGGCTTGGACCTGCAATCTTCCTGATCTCTGCCTCCTGAGTAGCTAGGATTATACGTGTGAGCCACAAGTGCCTGGCAATATAAATAGGCAGTCTCTTGTTTAGTCAGCTTGTTTCTCAGTTCCTATAAATAGAATTTCAACATTTTTGAAATTAAAAGTTATGGCTAAATCACACACCAAAAACACTGTTCTGATAATATCCTCCCTACCTCTCTATTCTAAACACTAGATACTAACAACTTTTAAATGTTTGTCAATTGGGAAAATATTTTAATTTGTATACCAGTAATTATAAGGGTAAAATTACTTTTTGCCTACATAGTTCATCTTTTTTGCAGGCTTATAGAGGTCTTAATAAGTTGGGAATAAGTTGTCACATGTATTATGAACATTTTTACACATTATTTTCTGATAACAATGTTTGTGGTATTTTGCAAACTACCAAACTCTTATATTCTTCCTATAAGGGCTCCTGGATGTTGTATGTACTTCAAAGAAGATCCTCTCCAACTCAAATATAAAAATAGCTCATATGATTTCATTTACTCCCTTCATAATTTCATTTTTATTGAGAATTTTCAACAACTGTAAATTAAAATGTAGTTATATAATTATTTACACAGTTGGAGTTCAACTAGATTTTTTAAAATGGAAAAATACTGGAAGGAAATAAAACATTAATAGTGATTATTACTGAATGGTAGGATTGTATATGACTTCTTTTTTGTGCTTTACAAATTTTCTACATTGAACACACTGCTTTTATAATTAGAATAAAATACAATTTCTTTACACCATCATACTTATACTTTTCCTTATGTTTTTGATAGCACTCAAGTCAATTCTTAATTATTATCAAAATATCTGACCTAGATTGAATCTAATACTAAGGCAGAACTTTGCATTTTTTAACTTCATTGTCATAGATGACACGAGTGGAAAAAATTTTAAACTATCAGAGAAGGGTCTAATGAAAGAAAGAATTATTGTTCCAGTGGGAGTGCATTTGAATAGCAATCACAAAAATAGCTGTATTTTTTGAGTACTGTGTTATGTACCAAGTGCTTACATATATCAACTTATTCTTTACATTTCTATGAGATAGGTCCTGTTCTACCCCCTTTTTACAGATTAGGAAACTGAGGTAGAACGGTTAAGCAACTTGCATAGCCATGCAAGGTAAGTGGCAGAGCCAAGACTAACTCCAGAGGATTTGGCTCCAGAATCTCTATTCGAGACAGGGTCTCATGATGTAGCCTAGGCTGACCTCAAACCCATGACCTTCCTGCCTCAGTCTCCCAGGTGCTGGGATTCCAAGCACGTGTTGGAAAGCCTCTTTTGACAACCTAGAAAGTATTGTCAAGAAAAAGACTAAGCCACAAAAGGACTAACAGATTTTGCTGAGTGATCTTTTATTCTTTGTTCTCTGTTTGCCAAAATGTGCTAAAATCTTTCAAAATATACAAATTTATTTTCCATAATGGTTGGAGGACATGTCCACTATATCATCTTTAACATGTTACTTTCCCCAAAAAACTTACTCAAATTATGGCTCTATCTGGCAAACCTAATTTTTAGTGCTCTGTATGAACCTAAAAGTCAAATCAAAGCTAAATGAATATGAAACTTTATTTCTTACATATTAAATGGGGGAACTTTCTAGAATGGGCCATCCATCCTGAGCATAAGTGATAAATTCTTTTTTATTTTGCCATTGTCAATATTAGTGCCTCAATGTCTCTCTCAGGTACATAGGAGACACAAGTATTTTCAATTTCGTTTTGTGATTTTTTTTTAAATGAATTTAAAAGTACATATCTCCCTCCCCCACTCTTTTTTGGAATGCAGGGGATTGAACCTAGGGTCTTGTACATGCTAGGCAAGTACTCTACAATCTACAACTAAGCTTAAAATTTGTATTACGTGAGGACGAGGGGATGGCTCATATGGTAGAGCACCTGCTCAGCAACAGTGAGATCCTGAGTTCAAGCCCAAATGCTACACACCAAAAAAAGTACATACTTGATCATAAGAATGTAGGCATAAACATAAACAAAAGGCATACAAAGAACATGGGAGGCTGACAGAAGGATCACAGTTTGAGGCCAGCTTGGGCTATACAGTTCCAGGTCACACTGGGTCACATACCCTATCTCAATTCCACGTCCTCACTCATACCCCTCCAAAAGAAATTACTGTAAATCAAGCTTGTCCCTTGTTCATACTTAGGAGCTCTTCTAAATATAAATGACCAAACTGGAAAAATAGCATTTCTACATGTGAAAAAACTTTCACGTTGGCAGCAATTTTTAAGAAATAACATAGTTGGGGCAGGATGTGGCAGGGCATATCTGTAATCCCAGCACTTGGGAAGCTGAGGCAGGAGGATTGGGAGTTCCAGGTGAGCCTGGACTGTATAGCAAGGCACTGTTTGAAAAAAAAAAAAAAAGAAATAATTACAGTTTAACTACAGATGAATGTCCACAGATTGCCAATGATAAGAGCCACAAACCTAAAATCCAGGGACTCGCTACAATCTAATTTTGTTTTATTAAAGTTTGTTTTACAAAAAACCCCTCAAATTTCCTGATCTATAAAACAGGGGTTGGACTAGGGTATAGCTGCAGTGGTAAAGCACTTGCCTAAGTTCAAACTCCAATATTACCAGAAAAAGTATTATAAGACAGGGGTTAAAATTACTGCTCATTGCTGCTACAAAAAATCATGATATTCTTATTAGAAACTGCTAGGACAGTCAAAAATTGATAAAACGATTATGAAAGAAGAACTGCTAAATTTAGGAATACACTATGCTTGGAAGAACCCAATGTAAAGAATGATTCTAATATCTTGGTTCTATTTGGATATATTGCTAATTTTCAAATAGAGGGTTGTGACTCAGGGAAATGACAAAGTAACAGCAAAGAGAGAGTAGAGATAGAGGATGAGCTAAAGATTACACGGCAAGGGCAGATCTGCCCCCTTTGCCACAGTCCTTTGTGTAATTCCGCATGCTTTTCATTTCTTACTCCCAGCCTTTACAAGCCACTCACTTGCCAGGAATAAGAGAGCTTAATTTTAGAGGAAGAAGTGACAGGCAGCTAAGCCTCAAGGAAGATCACTAATGGGTACACTAAATTTCCAGAGAAATACCAGAGAATATCAAAATAAACCTTATACTTACAACTTGAGATTCACGAGCTTTAGGAAACATTTTGGCAACATTGAGGCCATCAATAACAATATCAAAAGGAGGACAGGATTTTACAAAGTTCTCAAATCTCTTCAGTTCCTAAAAAACAAAAGTCAGATAAAACATTAACAAGAACTTAGTAAAGATTTCACCCCCCCTTCCCCCTGGTACTGGGGTTTGAACTCAGAGCCTTTACCTTGAGCCACTCCATCAGCCCTTTTTTGTGAAGGGTTTTTTCAAGATAGGGTCTCACAAACTATTTGCCCCAGGCTGGCTTCAAACCTCGATCCTCCTGTTATCTGCCTCCTGAGTAGTTAGGATTACAGGTGTGAGCCACTGATGCCTGGCTTTACTAAGGATTTTATTATAAACTTAATGAGGTGACTTTTATTATCATTTCAATAATTCAAAATATTCCTCCCATAAAAATCCATACACAAGGGCTGGGGATGTGGCTCAAGTGGTAAGAGTGCCTGCCTAGCAAGCTCCAGGCTAAGTTCAAACCCCAGTACACCAAAAACAGATAAACCAAAAAAAAAAAAAAAATTCAAGCCGGGTGCCAGTGGCTCACTCACGTAATCCTACCTACTCTGGAGGCAGAGATCAGGAGGATCACGGTTCCAAGCCAGCCCAAAAAAATAGTTCGAAAGACCCATCCCAAACGCTTCACAAAAGACAGCTGATGGAGTGGATCAAGGTAAAGGTCCTGAGTTCAAACCCCAGTACAACAAAGAAAAAAAAATTCCATATACACAAAGCTGGACACTCAGCCCTATAATCCTATTCAGGAGGCAGAGATCAGGAGGATCACAATTTGAGGACAGATTGGGCAAAAAGTTCATAACCCCATCTCAACCAATAAAAAAAGGCTGGTTGTGGTGGTGGGATATGCCTGTGATCCCAGCTATGCCTGAAGCATAAATAGGAGAATAAAGGTTCAGATCAGATGGGGTAACATAAACACAAGACCTTATCTCAAAAACAACCAAAGCAAGGAGGACTGGAGGCATAGCTCAGATGGTAGAGTGCCTGCCTAGCAAGCTTAAGGTTCTGAGTTCAAACCTCAGTTCCGCCAAAACAACCCCAAATTTACACACACAGGCAGGCATGCTAGTATACATCTGTAACCCTAGCACTTCGAAGGCTAAGGCAGGAGGCTAGAGAGTACTGCCTGTACCATATAGTGAGCCTAGGGTCAGCCTGAATTATATAGAGAGACCCAGACCCTGACCCTGTCTCAAAAGAAGCAAAAAAAGGGGGGCTAGGAGCACACCTGTAAATTCCATCCCCAGGAGGATCATTGTTCAGGCTGGCCCAGGCAAAAACTAGAGATCCTATCTGAAAAATAATTAAAGCAAAAAGGGCTGGGAGTGTGGCTCCAGTGGTAGAGCGGCTCCAGTGGTAGAGCACCTGCTTAGCAAGCATAAGGTCCTAGCTGAACTTAAACCCCACTTAAAAAAAAAAAAAAAAAAGGAAACAAATAAACCTGAAAACCAAACCCCCCACCGCAAAAAAAAAAACAACCCAAAATTTACACACACACATTCTTCCAAAATGCAATGTAAAATTTGAAAAAGTCAGCTTAATGGTATTCTTTTATAATTTACACTTCACAGAGTACCTTCATACACAATTTGATTTGATCTATAGTCAGACTATATAGGCTGCTAAACTGACCCACATGATAGCTATGGAGACTGAACTGTCACAATTTTGAAACCCTACAAACGAAGAAGTGAACCTCATATATGTGAGTCTACCAGTGCATTTGTGATGAAAAAGTATGGCACTAAAATTTTTAGCTCTTTTGTTGATAGGCTTTTGTTTACTTATAGCTATTTTGAAGAGTTGAAGAGTCACCCCCCCAAAAAAATTCATTCAACAAGTATTTGTTGAACACCTACTATGTGCTTAGCACTTTACCAAAAAGACAAAAATTCCTAACTTAATGGAGCTTTGTGGAAGGACACACAAATAAACCAAATAAGTTATATTAAATGTCAAATGAGGAGGCTGAGGCAGGAGGATCAAGAGTTTGAAGCCAGCCCTGGGCTACACAGTAAGATGCCATCTCAAAAAACCAAAAACTAAAACCAAACGTCAAGTGCCAAGAGGGATATACAAAGGGGAGCGGGTTCCACCAACTTCTGGCAATGATGGAATAGTTTGAACTAGACTACCAAAATAATAGCAATTCTAGATTAAAAATGAACTAAGTATTTGAAGGTACTAAAGAATGACCAAAAGCATGCAGAAACTGGAAAGGACATGGTACGTGAAAGGTTTGCTAGTTTAGAAACGTGTCTGAAAATTCTTTGACACTCCTCCCTAATTCCCTACACTTGAATATGGGTTCTCCTTTTCGAGTGCCTCAATGAATGGCAGGAGGCAGAAGTGAGGCTTGTTTAGAAGTGAGGCTTCTATATATAGACACATACAAAAGCTCTAAATGACTACATAAAAAGAAGAAATGCCTGCAATCATTCATCTAAGTTTTTGCTTTAAGCAGCTAGAAGAAGAGCCAGACATGGTGGACGTATAATACCAGCACTTGGGAGTCTAAGGCAAGACTTACGAGTTCGAGGCCAACCTGAGCTACATAGTGAGTTCAAGGCCTGCTTAGGCTACACAGTGAGACCCTGTCTCAAATAAATAAATAAATAAATAAAGCTGGGGATATAGCTTAGTGGTACAGTGCTTGCCTAGCCTAAGCAATGTCCTGGGTTCAATCTAGCACTGAAGAAAAAAAAAAGAAAGAGAAAGAATGTTGAATTTCACAGGAAGTAAAATAATAAAAAGCAGAAATAGCAAGGAAATGGTAGCTTATACCTGTAATCCTAGCTACTCAGGAGGCAGAGATCAGAAGGATCATGGTTCATAGCTAGCCCATGCAAATAGTTCTTGAGACCCTATCTTGAAAATACCCAACACATAAAAGGGCTGGCTGAGTGACTCACGTGGTAGAGTGCCTGCCTAGCAAGAGTGAGGCCCTGAGTTCAAACTCCAATGCCACCAAAAAAAAAAAAAGAAAAAGGAAAAAAACAGAAATAGAAGTAAAAATATATTTAAACAAAGCAAAGTTTGCAAAAATATAATTTAAAATTATTTAAGGATCAAAAACCTAAATCTAAATGCCCAATGAAGATTCTGGAAGAAAACAGAAAAATTCTTTGCAATACCAGGATAGGCAAAAAATTTCTTGAATAGGCTGAAGGTGTGGCTCAGTAACAGAGTGTTTGTCTAGCATGCATGAGACCCTGGGTTTGATCCCTAGTACAAAAAAAAAATTTGTTAGGTGATACACACACTACCCATTTAGAGGTCTCCTTGATATGAAGCCTCTCGGAAACATAATTTTTGCAATATTCTAGTCAAAAATACATTCAGGGAATTGGAAATATCAGATAAACCTAAATTAAGACATTCCACAAAATAACAGGCCCTATTTTTTTTTTAAGTGGAAGCTCAAGAAAGATAACTGAGATCTTTTTGCATTGAGATAGGGTCTCACTAGGTAGCCCAGGCTGGCCTCAAACTTGTGATTCTCTGGCCTCAGCTTTCTGACAACTAGGATTACAGCCATGGAGTACCACACCTTGCAAAAACTGAGATTTTTGTTTTTATTCTGGAGATTAAGAGACCAAAGAGACATAACTAAAACCCAATGTGTAATCCTAAACTGACCTATGGGAAAAAAAAGCTTATAAAGACCATTACTGGGAGAAGTGACAGAAACTGAGTATCAAGTGTGGATTAGGTAATATTATTACTAGTGCTACAAAGATGAAGAATTCCTTTTGGGCCAATAGTCCTTAGGGAGAACTCCCAGTGAGATATCATTACACACTCACTAGAAAATCTAGAAATTAACAGACTGACCTTAACAAGTGTGTGGAGCAGCTAGAGCTACCAAACACTGCTGGCAGGAATGAAGAAGGCTACAACTTTGGAAAACAATTTGGTAATTTCTTCCAAAGTTCAGCAAACACACAATTGAGCAATCCCACTTCTAGCATGTATAGAAAAGAAAAACACACCCACACAAAGACATGAATATTAACAGTAGCTTTATACCTAATTGCCAAAACTAGAAACAATTGAACTGGTGAATGAAAAAAGTAGTACATCTAGACAATTGGAATACTACTCACCTATCAAACAAACTATTGATATACACACAGCATGGATGAATCTCAAGCTGAGCATTGTGGTTCCCAACGAGGTCCAGATACTTGGGAGACTGAGGCAGGAGGATAACTCATGCTCATGAGTTTAAGATCAATCTGGTAACATGGTGAAACCCCATCTCAAAAAACAAATCACCAGATATGCACAAGTTCAAGACCAATATGGATAAATTTCAAATGAATAATGCTAAATGAAAGAAGGCAGACAGAAGTGGCTACTTAATACTGTATTTTCCATTTACACAAAATTCTAAAAATGGTAATACTGCATGTGCCAACTGCAAGCAGATTAAGGGCTCTGGGGAGTTGGGAGAGAGACTGACTGTAATGGATACAAGGGAACTTTCTTGGGTGATGATTATCACACACTGTATACATTTGTCAGAACTCACTGAACTGTATATACCTAATTTTATTATATGTAAATTACACCTTAATAAAGCTGCTGATTTAAAAACAAAAAAGCCAGGCATGCTGGGGTACGCCGATTATCTCAGCATTCAGGAGGCTTAGGTAAGTTCAAGGCCAGCATGGAAGCATAGCAAGATCCTGTCTCAAAAAAAACTAAATAAGTTAAATAAATAAATATGAACAAAAATGCTAATTCCAATACTTTAAATGACCATTGGGTTCTATGTACACTGTCATTTCTCACTTCAGTAGCTTTTCTATCCCTGCTAACTCCTGGTACCTTACAATTCCTTCCCAAAACATTGTTTTAAAATCTCTCTGCTCAAATGTATTTCCTACAAGATGTTTAGAAAGTTCCACTTAAAATCAAAATTAACTAAATATTGGTTGGAATAGGGATATTATTTTTTATAAATGAAAATAAAAATGTCAACGTTAAAAGTTTATATTAAACATGATAAATTTTTGTTTCAATCCATATATTTAAATGAAGCAAGGGAAACAAAACAGTGCATTAAATTTCTAACATTCACGAATAACCAGAATGGAAAATATTTTCCATTGTACTATTCATTTATCATGTTGGTGCTGCTTTTAGCACT